TGGTAAGTACAATTTCACAAATTTCAAATATGGGAATTTTAGAATTACTGTTTTGTGACTAGTTTCTAGTATAAATTCACTGTGGTCAGAGAATGTCATCATATGTGATTTAAAATTTACTGAGACTCATTTATAGACTGATAAACAAATCTAGCCCCCAGTCTGTTTTCATGCTAACAAGCTAAGAATGGCACTTACATTCTTAAAGCATTGTTCAAAAAAAGACAAAGAAAGAAGGAAGTGACAAAATTATATGTGGTCAATACAATTTAAAATATTTATTATCTGGTCTTTTACCCAAATTCACCAATCCCTGGTCTTGTATATGGTCAGTTCTTTAAAAATGTTTCATGGGTGCTAGAAAACAATACTCTATATTAAGTATGGTTATGTGAAACAGTTTACTAATATAGATACAGATGAAAACAATACTCTAAATTAAGTACAGTTATGTGAAACAGTTTACAAATACAGATACAGATTAGTAAACTGTATCTTTAGATATTGTTGTTCAAATTTCCTATCATTATTGATACTCTCTGCTTGTTCTATCAATGATTAAGAGGTGTATTAAAATCTCCCACTGTGATTTATACATTTGTTGATTTCTCCTAGTAGTTCTGTCAATTTTTGCCTAAATATTTTAAGCTTACTTGTTATATACCTTTGTTAATTAAAACTTTTATTATGAAATATCCCTTTTTTGTCTCTATTAATATTTTCTTAAAGTCTATTTTATTGATCTTAATACAACCAGTAACAACTTTCTTTTGGTTAGAATTTGGTATATCATTTTTCTATCTTTTTGTTTTTTATCTTTCTGGACAAATAAAGAAGGAAAGAAAGAAAAAATAACGCCATGTTTACAAGTGGTTCGATTTTGTAAGTAGTAACACTGAAAGTTAAATACTTGGAAAAAATAATGTTATTATTAACATCATAGCATAGAAATAATAGGCCCTTAGAAATACTTGCAACAAAACCATGTAAAATCTTGATGGATAAGACTACAAAGTTTGAAGAAATTAAAAAATCAAAGACCTAAATTAATGAATAGATTCCAAAAATGATCTATGACTCAATGTAATCTCAAACAAAATCCCACCTGGGTGTTAGCAGAACTTTACAGGTTAATTCCAAACAGTGTGTAGAATTTTGAGGGCCAAGAAGGGCCAAAACATTTTTAAAAATCAACAACAAAAAGGTGGTGGGGGGAGGAAATTATCCTGCCATATATCAAGTCATAGATTTAAGAATATTAATACCAGGCTGGGGTGTAGCTCAACGGTACAGTGCTTATCTAGTATACACTATCCTCAGTAACACACACACACACACTCCAATAAAAAATAAAAGGGGAAGGGGAAAAGAATGAAGGAATGTTTGCACTTTATACAAAAATTAATTTTATGTGGATGAATTAATTAGATGTGAGAAGCAAACATGTAGCATTTTCAAAAGAAAGAATATTTTCATGACTTTGGGTTAAGGATTTCTCAAACGAGAAACAGGAACCACAATCCATAAGGGAATAATTTAATAAAACCAAATAAACAATTCTGTTTAATGAAAGACAATTAAAGAGAGAGAGAGAGAGAGAGAGAGAGAGAGACTGAGAGAAGACAAGTTACAAACTGGAAAAGTTTTTTTCAACAAACTGACAAAGGATAATATCCCTAACAAATCAAAATGACAACCCAAGAGTCATTTTGCAGAGGAAAAAGAAAAAAAATCAAGTCACTAACACAAAAATGAAAAGATGCTCAATCTCATTAGTGTTCAGGAAAAGATAGATTAAAACCACTGCATAATTTATTTCCTGCCCAAATACTTGCTATTAGTCACAATACAATTTGTTAGGTACAGATGAAATTATCTGCATGCTTCATATCTCCTTCCCTCCTTCCTTGGTAATTTTCCAATCTTTTGCAATCATTACTTTTACTGTAATGACTGGACAAATAAGACTCCAATCTCCCTTCAGCCACAACCCCCTACCCACTACCACTTCATATAAGGAAGTGTTGGTGTTGGTTCTCAAACCAGCAATAAGAACACTACTAATCTCTCATCATGCAGCCCAAACTGCTGGGGAGACTAGCCCCAGCTCTGCTTCTAATGGTATCTTATGTAACTTTTCCTTCTGGATTTCCTTTTTTATTGAACTAACTCCTTAGTGAAATCAGTAAGCTCTAAAGACCCTCTTCAATCTTGCCACTGTCCACCCAGCTCTAAAACTCAGATTCTTAATGTACAAACTTTACTAAGACCTTTCTTCTTCCATTTTCCTATCAAATATATTTCCTTTAGTGCACTAGGCATTGGAAACATAAAGGAACAGACACAAGAATCTCTGGGATCCAGAGTCTCACAGTCCAGAAAAGAGTAAAAAGTTAAATCCAGCAATGTAGCAAATGCTACAGCTGAGATAAGGGGCTCTGGTAAACACAAGAGGAAACAAGTGCACTGAGGCTGAGGAGCAGCAGAGTTTGGGGTGTGGAAGTAGCACGAGGCAAGGAATTTTCAGGCAGAGACTAGTGTGGGCAAAATGTTGGGAGGAAAAAAGAAAATTGGGCTTATGGAACTTTTTTATAAAGATTTCAGCATGGGATAACAGCAGGCTTCACATGCTACATAAGGAACTTACAAATTATCCAATAGGCAACATGGTGTCTTTGGGCAGGGAAGTGATATGATGAAACTAGAATTTAGAAAGAATGTCCTAGAGGCACCATGGAAGAAAGAATGGAATTGTGGTATGGAATACTGGGAGATAAAAAAGGAGAAAGTACAAAGACCAGTTAAAAGGCTATAGTTGTCTGTAGAATGGTAGGTTGTGGAGTCATTAATCAAAATGAGAAAAAGATAAGTGAATTTTGAAGGGAAAAAAAATGTTCAGCACACTGAATTAGAGGTATCCAATCATTCTGGAAGACATACTTATTAGATCTTAAGCTAGGAAGGAGTTTAGAATTGGAAATATGAATAGCTGACATATATTCAGTGTTTATTGTGTGCCTGGTACTGTTAAATTTGCTTTACAAGCATTAGGATAATTCTTGTAACTCCATGAGATGGAAGCTAATGTTAAATCTACTTTAAAAATGAGAAAAATTGGCACAGAACCCTTCAGTAACTCATCCAAGGTCACCAAGTGGTAAGCACTGGAGGCAGGATTTGAATCCTTTGATTCTTGACACAAACCTGTGCTAATCACTCTACAGTGGTCACCTGAGAGCTATCAGAAGCAGAGAGGGTGAAGGTACAGGAGAATATGTGAAGTGTAAAGAGGACTAAGGAAGGCAGAACAGGGCACCAGAAAGCTAAGGATAGACAAGTGGACATCAAAGGGAGACAGCATTTTGAGAAAGAGGAAATATGTAATATTGTCACTTGATGAAGATTCAAGTCAGATGGCAGAACCTGACAACTGAAAGGCCTGGGACATCATTCTGGGAGGTTAGTTTTCCAAGAGGCTAAGGCCAGACTGCTTTGGGTTAGGGAGAATTGAAACAGGTGAAGAGAGCTCCAAAAGACCTGCCTGTGAAAGGAATAAAGATTAGGAGGGTACTGGAAGGTTTTAAGTTGGGACAGTTTTGTTATAAAGAGAATTCCAAGCATCCTTTCATGTCCTTTAGCAAAAAGTAAAATTCATAAATAGCTCATTAAAAACCTATAAAAAACTTCTTAAGTCATAGCAGTGGACTTAGGAACATCTTACAAAGGACTTTTTGTATAGGCTCCTCTCCACACATTGAGCTTTTGATCAGCCACTTGGAGTTCTACTCTCAACAAGTGGATACTCTCACCTAGCTAGAGACATATCAACTTCTCCTCACTTCCTGAAACTAAGCTCTCCACTTTCTCAGGTTTGCCAGTTACCTATGCCTAGAAACTCTTTGCTTCCATGGGCTAGCTTTTTGTTCTTGGAAGCACCCTTTTCAGGGTTGAGGTCCCTGATCAACCTACCAAAAATATACTCCAATCAAAATTATTCTCCATTATAGAGCTGGGGTTGTCGCTCAGTGGTAGAGCACTTGCCCAGCATGTGAGGCACTGGGTTTGATTCTCAGAATCACATATAAATAAATAAAATAAAGATCCATTGACAACTAGAAAAAATATTTTAAAAAATTATTCTCCATTATGGTATCTTATTTTGTCCTTGATAGTACTCGATTCAACCTCTAACTACTTTATTTGATCACATTTAATTGGCTGCCTCTAACACTAGAATGTAAGATGCCTCCGGCCTCTGTGGCTTCAGTTCTTAGAGCAGTTCCTGGTGAAAAATAGGTGCTTGGTAAATGTTTGTTAAATGAACTATCTGACCCAATTTCTAACTTTATCACCTTCCTACATTAGATCATGCATTATTTTTAAACCCAATAGCTTTCCTCAATGTATTAACAAATACAGTCACAATAGCTAACATTTATTGCACTCCCACTAGACAGCTGGCTCTGTTATAAGCTTTATTTGTACAATTTCAATTATTCTTCTCAATAGTTCTCTCATATAGATAAGTGCTTTAAAAATGATCGCAGTTGTACAGGTGAGGAAACAGGAGGTTGTATAACTTGCCCAAGTTCACACAGGTGGTGAAGCCCGGGTTAAAACCTAGTTCTTCAAAACCAAAACAAAGTCAGGCCACTGCTCATTTCGGGTGAAGGCACATACCTTAGTTTGCGATATCTTGATCTAGTTTTATTTATGTTATGGGATTACACCTGCCCTATTTAAGTCATATCCCAAGCTCAAATTGTCCCCACTTTTCCCACTTGCTTTCTGAAGGTGAGAAGCCAGGGCAGCGAGTAATGGAGAACTGTCCCCAACTTCCAGTTCACAGCTTCTCCGGAGGAAGATGCAGGAGGGATCGAGAGATCTACGCGTTAGCAACTATCTCTCCGCACTAAGAGGTAACTCAGGACTTAACAGGAGAGCGGGGATTTTGGAGCTGAAGCCAGTTCTGGCACAGCATCAGTGGCCAAAACACTTACCTTAACTGCCACCTCCGGAGCCGAGTCCACCGCCACTGTCAGAGAGGGCTTGGCAGAAGGCGACTTAGTCAAGTGCATGAGAGAGTCGGCGGCTGGCAGCGGACACCTACTGCCCTCACTGTCCGAGTCCGATTCGGACCCTGAACCCGAACCGTAAGAAGCGGCCAGAGCTGCAATCGCAGCCGACATCGCGGCAACAGATCCTCTGCACAGACCAGGCCCGGACGGAAGAAGAAGCGGCTCCCAGGTCCTGACAGATTATCACGGAACACATTATTTACCTCCTTTACTAAGAAATAATCCATAACATTTTGAAACAATAAATTAATCATTACAATAACTAAAATCGGACCGGTAATTTTGAAACATATAGGAATGGACAGATGATCATAACAGATCATAACTTTCAGGACCTATTTGGTTAGATAGGGACTAGGAGTTCTGAAATACCTTGAGGCCTCGAGGTCCTGCACTCCCGGCTTGCAGCGCGGCGGGAAGTACGAAGAGGCACAATGGGAAGTGTAGTTTGGAACGAGGGGGCGGTGCGGTGCAGGAAAGCCTCCCTTAGACCCCGCCCCTGAATGGATGGTTCATTCAATTGGCTATCATCTTCCCTCATTCCCTGGCCAAGCACGGTTCTCTCCGTCCCCCTCCCCCAAACTAAGGATTGGGTAATACCACAGAGCCTCAGGAAAGGGGGAAGAGCGATCTTCGCCCCCATATGATGGGTGAGTGGGCGGAGGCTGAGTTTCCCACCACCGCTGTACCTGGGCACTGGGGGCTGAGGGAGAAAGTGAGAATCTTAGGTTCTAAAACCTATGGGTGTCCAGTAGTACCTCCTGGGGGAAAGGATGGGAGATTAGATAGAGTGAGTGCTGCGGTTCCCCCTGCTTCTAGAGCGGATTCTGGCGCCCGGTTGTGGAGCGTCGCGCGCGGGGAGGGGGCGGGTGGGGGGCAGCGGCGGCTCGCGGTGTTGTTCGCTCGCGCATCGAACACATCGTGGGTCCGGCGACCGGCAGGCGCCCTAGGCGGCATTCCTGGTGGCCCGGCGCTTCAGCCGCTACCCGAAGCGGGTTCCGCCCCGGAGCCCGACGCTCTTGTGGGCTGCAGGTGGAGTCCCCGAGCTGAGCGGGACCGGCGGCGGCCGCCGCCGAAGCATGAAGAAGGGGTAAGGCTAGAGCCCCCCACGATTTCACGGTGAGCGCGAGTCTCTCAGGAATTTTTTTTTTCGGGGGAGGGGATCCTGGGAAAGGAACTCTTCCTACCGACCCGAGCAAAGAGAGGTGTGTATGGATCTCCGGTCCGCAAAGGTTGCGGGGATGGATGGGCGCGCCTCCCCCGCGATGGCCCCCACCCCCATTCCGGGTTTCCCGAGCTCCCGCAGCCCACCAGCCACCCGGGCTGGGTGCCGAGGAAGCCGGCGGCGGGTGCGTCTGGATCTTGGTTGCACCGACTGGCTGGAGGCAGTTCTGGGCGGAGAGACTGCGGGTCTCACCTGAGGTGCCGTGGTCTGGGATCCCCTGCCCACCGGCACCCACGAGCCGCCCCCGTGCCTCCTCGCCCTAGGAGAGGCTACAGCCCTGGATAACCGAGAAGCCCCAGCTCGCTGTACGTGCCCGAGGCTCTGTAAAGCAAGCTCGTGCCTTAGCGTGTTTGCGCCGTGGATCTGTCTAAAGACAGAACGGTAAAGCGAGTGCGGGCATCCTTTTTTCGTTTGAAGAGGCTAAGCGGTGCGGTCTCTTCTGATGCCTGTTAATGGGGAGGTGCCTCGGGCAGAGTTAGGGAGCCGCTCACTGAGCTCTGATGTCGACAGGACTCGCCCATTGTGCCACCCAGATAATTATTCAACTATGCAGCATCCATTGCACCTTTCCCATTTTTCTTTTCCCCTTGCTACAGCATGCCCCCTAGCTTCGGTACTCTGACACCTCTTGCACTTAACCGATGATGAACTAGAATAATGATGAAAAGAAAGCATATTCGACCTGAACATTCACGACCTGTCCTGTAACCGATTAATTAATTAATCCCCAACTGGAGTGTAGGTACTTTGATACGACTCATTCTAATACTATCCCTTTCTATATAAGGTCTGCCTTGGATTCTATTTTTTAAAAATTGAGGGGGAGGGAGTGTTAGATTTACATGTTATCTGAGTCTTAATTTTTAGTTCAGTAATTGATTGTAATCGATTTATTGGCTATTCAACTGGTCTAATGCTCTTCAATTTGTATAATAGATAACTTTCATTTTGATAATTGTTAATAGCATTGTACAATTACCAATACAATCTAAGTTTAAACTCTCAGGAACAATTTGTCTTTTAAGATCTAAGTTTCTGTTAGAAAAAGTACTTATTTATAGTGAATATTTGAATAAAGAACTTGATATAAAATCTCCCAAGTTTTGAATAGGAAAAGTTTTGTATTTATTTTTTAGCAGCAGAATATTTTATTACTAATCATAGCCTTACTTTGAATGAAAGGAAGAATTTAACATTTAAGGTGGGGTTTTAATAGATCATTCTTTAATTTATCTGAGTTTTATTTTTATTCACTTCTTTTCTTTGCATTATCATGTATTTGCTTGTTATGGATTTTTTTCTTATTTTTCTAACTTCTATCTACAAGAATGAGTAGACTTCAGTTTTGCATGATCTACCTGAAAAATGAAGTATTATTTTGAAAGCATAAGAAACAATTGTTGGTTATAATGTTAAAGATTACCATTTGAGTCTCATGCTTTAAAAATAAATGTTTTACTACCAAAAATGTTTTCTTTTCTTTTTGTAATCTACCTTTTTCATCTTTCCTTGTTTTAAGCTTGTTGCATTAACCCTTTTCATGAAAAAGGAATTGCACATAGACATTGCAGATACAGTTTTAAGGTACAGTAATTGTTAAATGGAACTTGGAAGAGGTGCACACAAAAGTTGATGATGTAGAATCAGTTGTTTGGTTTCGAGATGACCTTGCAGTTTACAAAATGGACACTGTTTTGCCTTGGTTTCCTTAAATGTAAATGGAGATAATACTTATTCCACTAGGTAGTGTATATAAATTCTGTAAAGATGTTTTTATGGTGGCTTTAAAGAAAATGTAAATGTTTTAGTTAGTGATAATGACCATTTCAGTGTAAATACCATCAAAAATGTTTTTAGGATTTCCCTGGCACTTTAGATTGGCTGATTTACATTGATTTTTGCTTTGGAGAAATATGGTTCTAAATTGAAGAATTTCTTATCAAGCGTTTTTATCTCTAGAATTACTAGTTACTGTAGCTAATACATGTGTACGGTTATAGTATAAGTATAAATAGTTAATACTGATGAAAACATTATGTGACTTGGTAGAAAATTCAATCAAGTTTGTGAAAATAAAATATCCAGAAAATGTTAAGGCTTTTTTCATTAAAAATTTTTCATGAATCAGCTTGGGGATATAGCTCAGTGATAGAGTGCTTACCTAGCATGCATGAGGCCTTGAATTCAATCCCGAGCATGCAAAAAAGAAACAAAAAATTTCAAGAGGCACAATCCAAAATATATTATTGTGATCACTTGTAAGGTATGGAGCTACTTTGTTTACTTTTCAGGTTGGTACATATCCATATATTCACAAATAATGTAAGAATATTGTATAATACTGTAAGTATACATTTTGCTTAATTTTAGAAATAATTTAAGATATCTTTTCCAAGTATTTGATTTTCATTACTGTAGCAGATAGTAGCTTTTGATTTCCTTATTGGAGAGTTAATTCAATCAACTTTCATAGCAAAACTACTTCTGAAAGAGTGTATTACTAGAACTTTTGCTAAAACAATGTTTTTGGTTACTTTGTGGGAGAACTTCATATAGATGGTAAGACTTTTTTAAAGTGTCTTTAAAATTACAGTTATAGACTGGGTGCAGTGGCACATGCCTGTAATCCCAGCAGCTGAGGAGGCTGAGGCAGGATGATTGCAAGTATAAAGCCAGCCTGGGCAATTTAGTGAGGCCCTGTCATAAACAAACAAACAAATAAATAAATGGGGGCAAGGGGTGTGGCTCAGTGCTTAAGCATCCTTAGGTTCAATCCTTGTAATAAATAGATAAACAAGTGAATTACTGTTAAATAAGTTTTTTAAACAATTAATTTGATTACAATTTATATATTTTTTAAAATGATGAGCAAAAATTTAGTAGTCATTATCACTTGGGTATATACAGTTAACTAGTGGTTTTTCTTAAAAGAGCTAATCTGAAGCTTATTGTCATAAATGAGTGGCAGCATAGTGTTTAGCAGATAGCAAGGATTCAGATTTCTTTGTTGAACAAATAAAATGAATGAGTGAGAAATAGCCACTGAATTAATATACTAAGTAAAAATTGTTAAAAGATTTATCAAACCTTTTAATTAATGCAACAGTTTTATCTTGAAAAGTGCAAATTGTTTTTGGAGGTTCTTTGAGAACTTTTACTTTCTTTTTTAAGTTGTATTATTTTATCTCTTTTTATAATCCTTTTACCACAGCTTTTTTAACTAGTACTAGATACTGAATAATGTATATGTTAGCTACTTAAATGAAATATTAACAATTTTTTTCTTATCTCTTATAATTCATTTAATTAAAATGTATATTAACTTTTTGTTACTGAATGATATAAAAATGTTTTTCATTCTGACTTAAGTTTTCTGGTGAAATGTTAATAAAAAAGATGGATGTAAATTAAATCTTGTGCAAAATGTCTTGAGTACGTAATTTTAAAAATAAATGATCCCAGAGGTAGAACTTTTTATAAAATTAAGAATCTTGTGTTTTTAGTTTATCACATTCAGCTTAGAATTTTGAGTCTTTGTGTGAGTTGGTAGTCCTAACTTAGAATGGGACTTATTATGTCCTTAAAATATAAATATAAAATGGTTTGGAATCTGGAATTTATTTTTTCAGACACAATATGCTTGATAGTTAGATTCACAAAGAGCCCACAAAAATATTTTTAGCCTGTAATATACCTGAATTATAGGATGTACCATTAATACTAGACAATTATAAACTTATAATAAATACTATAAAATATTTATAATACCATGACAGTTTTATCTTGGTAGGCATGACAACATTAGGAACTTATTCTCTTTCACCCACTGGATGTGAAGAGGAGGATATCCTTCCATTCACTGAGTAGTCTAGCTTTACATCATCTGGGGCAGGAAGTTGGGGTGTCATAGAAATTGGAAGGAGGTAGGGTCTTCTACATGACTTTACCTCTCAGGGTTTTTTGGTTTTGTCAATTGTAAAATCAGAAAGTTGAAGTAGATGACTTCTGAGTCCCTTTTAGCTACAATTAAAATTCTAAGGCATTTGAAAGATCTGTATAACTTCTTTTTTTCTTTCGGCGGGGCGGGGGGAGTTCCCTTTTTAATATTACTACTTACATACTTCCTGTCAGGGAATCTATTCTGGATCTACTTCTGAAAAAGATTATAGTTCTAATTTTTTTCACACTGCAATTCTCATATGCATGACGTTTTAGTTTATTGTTGTTATGTT